ATAAATGGGGTAATTATTAATGGCATGATAGAAGGATCTTGCTGTGAAATGTTTCAGCCAGAATCAATTTTATCAGAATCTATAAGCTAACCTATTTAGAAATATCTATGATTTGCAAGATGCTTCTGGTTATATATATATATACACATACACACACACAGTAAAAATATGTTCCTGCCTTCAAAATGGAATGGAAAAGTTGAGTTGGGATAAGTCATCTAGTTATGTTCTGAAAGTGTGAGGATGTCCTCAAAGGAGGATGAGCTCCCTTTCACGTGGGCAGATTGAGAGAGACTTTATGAATAAAGTTACGGTCTCTACTAACAGAGGGTTATAGTGTGTTTTTAGAAGTTTAAAATGGTAGCGGTACCTAGACTGAAAGAAAGAGCCTTGGAAGCATGTGGAATTTTTTGGTGGTATTATCTAGAAAAACATAATTAATTTGAACCACCTGGGAATGTGATGGATCTATGTGATGGGAAACATGACATACTTGCATGCTTGGAGTTTGGTTGTGAAGTCAGAAACTAAGCAACTTGGATAAGTTACTAATAGAAAAGCCACCAGTAGTCCAACTGTGCATTTTGCTGTTTGGGGTCATTTTGGAAAATGGTGTTTGTTTTAATTAGTGACATTCATTTGTTAGAAGACCTGCAGATATTATTTCCTAAGATCTAACTAGAAATCTCACACTTGTACTGTAGCTAATTTGAGCGTTGTAACGTTAGTGATATCCAAATAGTGTACATCCATTGTTGGAACAGCAGATCTGCCAGGTGACCTGGGTAGTTAGGTTACCCTGTTGTCTTCGCAGTCTTGCGAGGCAGCAGTAATTAATGGAACTTACAATGGGCTGCATGAGACCAGCCCTGAGGATAAGCTTTTTCCGAGAGACTAGATCCAGTAGTTTAAACGTCACTGTTAACTGTGTTTCTTTCCTGTTACAGCAGTGTGGAACAGTAGGGAGTCTGCTGAAGGTTTTGAAGTAGCATAAATCTTAAGATAAAATTAACTTTAAAAAATGCAGGAATTCAAGTTATTGTTAGATTATCCAGTTCTTTGATGTGAAAACAACTTATTGCTCCTCTTAGAAAAGTGATTAATTTCTAGGGTTTTCTGGAAAGAAGATTCCACTGTTTTGGTCTTGTGTATAGTGCTAAGAGCAGTAAACTGAGGAGTCAAGAAACGTTCCAGCTCTGCTATTGCTTAATGTGTATTACTTTGTACAGCCTACAAAACGAAAGGGTTGTACTGATCCCTCCTAGATTCTTTCTGGAAATAGTTGTGTAGTGTTACTGATTAATTTGTGAAAATACGAAATATTCACTCGTTCATATTACGCTTGTGTCTTACACAGCATCCCTGACGTCCTTTTTTATTTTTATTTAGTGTGTTGTTGGTGGCTGCAATGCCAGCTTTGCTTCTCAGGGAGGGCTAGCTCGCCATGTACCGACACACTTCAGTCAGCAGAACTCCTCAAAAGTTTCTAGCCAGCCAAAGGCCAAAGAAGAATCTCCTTCTAAAGCTGGAATGAACAAAAGGAGGAAATTAAAGAACAAAAGACGGCGCTCATTACGTAAGTGCTCCACTGCGTGTCAGTATGTATTAGGTGGCATTTATCTGTATCTTGGGCTTTCGTGCAGATTCAGTTTTTACCACTCTTCAGCTCTGCTGATCTGTTTTTGTTAACGGTAATGAACAGATAGGGTCTTGGTCTGTCGGTGTGAGAATTCAGTGATGTTTCTACCTGTAGTATCAAAGGGAGAGTGAGCGTACTTGGCCTTAGAATACACTCTGTATAAAATTAGATTTTGAGGGCTACTTTGATTCTAAGTTAAGACGAAATTTTGACAGTGTTAGTG